TGTTCTTTGGGCACTTCGAATACGATTGTCAAATTAGGCCATTCGTGATTGCAAGCGGCATTACGAGGCTGTCTGACTTTACTCCACAATAAACAGTTGTAACATGATGTCTTTCGGTGGAACTCAGTTATACCTCATTATCAGTAAAACATCACGGTGAATCTCACCGGCAATCCTCGTTATATAATCAGACGATGTAAAGTTGCGCAAGATTATGATTAAATGACTAGTAAACTAATTCTATGTTAAACATGTGATGAAAGACGATCTACTTTGAAAATTCCCTTTTATAATAACGATTGTAGGTTGTCAACAATAACATGCATTTACCGTATGGAAACCAGTGGGAAAATTTGGTTTTACCCTCATTTCGTCTTATATTACTCTCATCTTCCTGGATCTCTCAGTATGCGGTCTTGAATGGCCAATTCAAATACTATGTTCTAGACGAGGTTGCTGCAACTCTATCACCCTTCACCAAGAAACGTGATTGGATGATCGACCAGTCATTTTATACTGTGAAGGCCTCAGTCACGTGAATGAGCCGTCAAGTTATGTGCAAACAAAGCCGTTACCTAAGAACAAAAAGGTTATTTCCGACGAAAGTATTCAGGGGGACTATGAAATGAAAAATTCTGACCAAGGGTTCTGCTATCAGTATACGTGCTGGCACGGTCCATGGATGCCAGAAATAGTCGAGCAAAGGTTACCACACCAAAAATTGGCATTCTAGTGAGTACCAGTGGCAAACCAGAAGGCCAGTAAACGGCTGTAGTAACGACTACTGAAGCCGGTTTGATGACTATCTCCTTGACTGACTGCAAAAACCAGCAGGCAGTCTTTTAAAATACGGAAAGATGAACAACTTACGTTGGTGCCCCGTGCATCCTACCTAGAAGTGTGAAAACCTTTGCTGATTCGTAGCAAATTCAGTAAACTGTAAATGAAGGGCTAACGACGGTGCTTACCTGTCAAGTTGGATCCAGAATAAGCTGCAATGGCTAAGCCATCAGAAACCCATCCCCTGAACAGTCGAATACGGATAACTATTCGACGAGACTGAGGACGGTCAAATATACACTAAAGGGGTATCCTTAAAAAGTGACCAAAAAGTTTCAGTTTCCATGCTAGGTGAACGAGGGGTGTTACAGGTGATACTATTAATGTGTGTTTTGATACCAGAGCATGATTGGTCAATTCACAAGCTCATAATAGAGGAACTTATCAACATGGGTAACCCTGTGAAGGTGCGAATGTATTCGACTGAGCAAAACCAGATTTTTAGTGCACCGGCGTTCTCACACCATGTCATTCATGAAGGTTTCTCTGATCCTGTTAATTTGTTGAAACCAGAATGTTTAAATTAAAGAGATCCCTACACACGCAACTGGCCAGTTGCTGTCGCCAACCGCACCGAGCGCGGGTGGCACTCCTCCGATGAACTGGTCCGACAGCAACTGGTGGTGCGACACTCCGTCCAATTCCAGTGAACCGCGATCCAATGACTGCCTGCAGGCCGGCGGTATAGTCACATGATGTTGGGCAGGAAAAACGCGGCATTGCTGACGCCGTCATTAAATCTTTTAACATGGTGACAATTTTTATCGAAGTACTTTCGTTCCTGGGCTTGCTGATGGCTCCAAAAAGCCCCTCGCGTGTTCTTTCGCTGCTCCGAATTCTATTAGCTCATATTTACTTCAATAGATCAGTCAGGTTAGGAAACCCGGCATTACCGCTTTTACACGCATAAACACACGCATCGAACCCATTTCACGGGAAATTAAGTATTGTATGTCGCTCATTTGGACAAGCGACCAGTTCACTCAAACAAGTGTTACTCTTCTAAACGATATTGCGTTCAAGTCAACATATAGCGGTTCTGATGAATACACTAAGATTAGTTACGTAAGCGAATTCGAAAAACCTGACAACGGTCACCATCATTTCAGCGAATGATGAGGTCTATTGAGTCAAATTGTTACCACGTCAAAATTCCATTAACTGTAATCTCATCTGAATGAGACAAATTGTATAACCGTGAGACACATAGTTTTGTAAAAGCATGCATGAATGCGAGTGGAAAAATTCAATCAGTTTGACACAAACATACACGACAAACGAAGTGCTTGGAGTTACAAAATAGTCCAAACACTGGCGTTCTTCCGATTAACAATAAAGCAAACGTTTAGGACAAATACACTCGAGTGGGTTTTCCTCTATTAACAAAAGATATCGTGAACTGCAACGCAAATATTGGTCGAGTTAGGCTATCGTGTGTATTCGGGGTGAAACTCGCTCAATCGAATCTGTCCAAAAACAAAACAGAAACGCTAACTAACCCTAGTTCCCAGATTTCCATCAATGTTTTCTCGTACTCAAACAGCACATTGTAAGTGCTTGACCGTAAACACTTGTTTGCAAGCTACTTCAAACACATTATCAGTATAAATAATGACTGACCGAATTAGACTTATTTTTCACGCAGATTTTGTGTAGTATGTTGCGAGAACGGATAAGTTTTGGCCACTATGAATTGTGCGGGCGAGATGAACCAAGTGGTTAGAGTGCGAATTTACCGATCGTGGCTCGAACCCGACCTCTACCGCTCGGTTTCCCCTGTCTAGGCTTGGGCGACCTGGCAGTATCCCAGCCCTCGTGCCTTCTTCGTATGGCATAGCAGCTAGGCACCGAAAGGGTGCTACAGCTAAACGATAGGGATACTATGAATTGTGCTACATAGTTGATCAAGAGCTAGAATGATTTGTGACGAGCTTTTTTCAGCTATTTGTTGTGAAGGAAGTGCACTCCCAAAAACGTGCTGTCCAATGGTGCTCGATAGTATCGAATTGGCCATCCAAGGACTAACCGAATATGCGACGCAATGCGCGGGCTACTCAGTGTACCGAAATCCAAAAACAACATTAGTTGGTCGGTGAAAGCTTGTCAACGACACACTTTCGATTTTGTCCTGTTTAGGGCTCAACAAATAGAGGAAGATCATTAGTCCACCTATTGTATTATGGTGATGGGGATCAATTAGTTAACACTCATTGTACAGAGAGTTTACTCTACTCAACTGTTTGTTAATTTGAAGCACTCATGGCAGCCAAGTCGCATATCTCTGAATCTCAAGGAGCGTGTGTATCAGGCTAAACTACGGACTGTTTTGTTGTAAGTCTTTGAAGCGTGAATCACTGCGAGCAACGGTCTTCAGGTTTTCGACAACTGTCATCTCAGAACCACAGCTCGTGTGGGTTGGTGTTTGCGAACTTGTAATGATGCACTTAGAATACGAGTGTTCTGTTGTGTAATGGCAGTTCTAATCAGAGAATGTGTCCAGATACGGTGGTCAAGTGACGCACTGCGCGCGCTGAATCATTTTTTGCTCTAATAGGGTGCTGGTTTTTGCGCCAAATTCGTAGTGGGGGATGCACAAAGGTGGTTAAACCTTGACCTGGCAGGGGTATTCTAAAGCGATTACGACAAATCGAGGTATTGGCGGTGCGACTCGCCCTCCAGGATGAGACTCCGTTATTTGCACAATGCACCGTTGGAGATGTGGCTGCTAAGTGAGCTTAATGACGCTGCTGCTGTCAGTTTCTATTCAGATTGCCTGAATGAGTGTCTGGAGGTATACACACTTTGGGATGATTCTGATAGGTTAGTATCAATTCCCTTCCTTATCCCTCTTAATTTTTTACTGCACAATAAGTGTTTTAGGTGAATTACGGTTGTCCGGCAGCGAAGTTTAGGCTTTGATATTAATGATGATGGAATTGTTTGCCCGTAAACAACCAATAGGGGATTAAAACAGGTAACTGCCTCTGGGATCAAATGTACAGATTTCGTTTTCTCAAAAGAAATGTAAGCCGACCATTCTTCTCTCCAGATACAATTCGACACGTGGTGAATAATCTCAGTGCCACCCAACTGAATTCAAAGTCGGCAAGTGTGTTGGACAGTGGTCTCGTAAACTTCAGTTGATATCAAATCATCATCGTGCTCATCACTGTCCTCATCATCAGAGTCATCTCCATCGGCAGTTTAGCAGTAATGCACACTGTTGCTTAACCGCTACACAAACATGAATGAAGGAAGCCTTAGCGAACCTTAGTAGAAAGGAGGGGTAAGGGTGGGGGCTTGGTGCGAACAAGCCCCGTTTCCCCATGATAAACGAGCAAGGATAAGGTGCCTATACCTTTGGACAGCATCTAAGCACCATGTCAAGGTAAGGCGACATCAGCTGGATCGATCCAGCGTCCTTTTAAACCTTATCAGACTTGAGGTCAGGCCAATCTTGACTAAGCAGTCGGGCTAGAAAGTTATATAAAATCGAGTAGAACACATACCAAGTTAGAATAGAAATTATAGGGGCTGACAAAAGAAAACATTTTCTATGCATTTGGTAGGGCATATCCAATCTATTCCATTGAGCAAACATCGAAACTACGACCAATAAGCTTGGTATTAAGCTATCCAAACCTGATTGGTCAGGTGGGCTCGAAAATTATGCGCTCAACAGCAACGGGGTCACACATTCAACTCATTTGATAACGTGAAAACCCAATGGTAGTTGTCTGAAACTGGACCATTTAATGACATGTAACGATAGACATGTAGTGGTAGAATCAACCAGTTAAGAACTACTTGTAAGTGGACTAACGTCACAAACCGGGACTAGCTACTTATCACAAACCGTTCTGTTTGGCGATGGCTAGTTGCCAAGCAAAAGCAGAAGAAACCATCTACAATTTTACGGTTAAATCCATCGACGGAGAACCGATTTGTTTATCTCAGTACGCGTAAGTGACCCGCTGAAACAGCTGATTTGTTTGAAACGCAGCGGGTTTGTTTGTCTTGTCGTAAACGTGGCAAGCAAGTGAGGATTGACGGACAAAAATTATCGACAGCTGCAGATGTTGCATCAAAAGTTTTTCGAACGGGGATTACGTATTCTTGCGTTTCCCTGTAACCAGTTTGGAGCGCAAGTATGAATTGTTTTGGTCCAAAAACGTAAACTTTGCTATTCGAAGGAACCTTGGGGAGAGTCTACCATTAATCATTATTTACGCAACTCTCTAGACGTAGAATTCGACTTGTTCAGCAAAGTTCATGTAAATGGACATTCAGCTCATCCTTTTTTCACATTTTTGAAATCCAAACTGCGTGACTCCAAATTCAAGTGAGTCCGATCCCCAGTTGGTTGACATTCTGGCAGTTTTATTAAATGGAACTTCACTAAATTTCTGATTGATCGTCGGGGCGTTCCACGCAAACGCTACGGATCTTCAACGCCACCCCTGGTAGGTTTTTCGAAAACAGCGCATTTCCTTGTTGCTTAAGCCTTGCTTTATACGCGTTTGTGTGTTTATCGATTGCGACCATTGGTTTCATGTGACAGTAATCACGACAAACTGGTTTGTGAAATTTAGAAGAGATGTCTCACCGAGAACGTTGTTGCATAGAATAACCTATAATCTATCGGGCATCTAAAATCCACCTGCATTTGGCATGAACACTGCAGCAGACATTCATAGGTTTCAAGGTGTTGCACATATTCGAAATGTTTACTTTTAAGCAAGGTCGAACTGCGTCCAATAGATGTTTTTCACTTGCAGTAGAAGTTAGTACCGTCTTTTATGTAAAGTTTGCGTTCAGGTGGGACAAGAGATTGGTAGAAACTCGAGGGTTGTGCCTGCTTGGTTAGAAGGGGGAACCGGTCATGGGCTGTTGAAGAGCTTTCAGAAACTCTATGGGTGCTCTGATTGTATCCCCCGTATATCTCATTTGTAAGGGGAATACGATGGGTACTTTCTGGTCCACCAAAGTACTTCATCACGCCACTCTAATGATGGAGGTATGGCGAACTCAGAATTGTTTTAGGCATTGCTTTTTAGCCTTGACTGGAGGCAAAAACCTTGGGTCAGGTAAGAGCTTTACTCTAGGATTTATCTTTCTTAGAATGTGGTACTACTACTTTTAACTGCGTCCGTCCCTGAGGGTCCCGTTCGATAGTAATCCTGCTCGATGTTTCTTCATCCCCAACGCTCGATTTTCGAAGCCAAGCAACTATACGGTTCCCTTCTTTTGTGTTTAGTAAATAGTGAGATGCATTCATCAAGCTGAAACGTTGTACGTATAAGGTTTCCATAATGATCTTCAACAGTTTTGAAGATCAAGATCATTCAAGATGTGTGCAACGATTATCTGTGTAGGTCAAGTGTACGCTTCTTCAAGATCCAGTTGGTCGTTAGATACTCTTTTGCGATGGCCTTTGTTTGGCCTTGATGAAGACATCGCAGACAAATCCAACAGTCATGTATTTTTGCGTCAAAATCACTGCAGTGTCTGTGTTATTGGTTGCTGTTTTTCCGACGTTAGACGGATTAAGCATGCAAGACTACTGTAGTGGCGTGTGCAGATTGATGCGCCTCAGGTTAGCTCAGTACATCCAAACTTCTTCGGAGTAATTCCTAAAGGGGAGGCAAAAACAACCGTTACAAAGTCAACGGTAAGCTAACTTTGCACCATTGAATGTTAATCAATAATTGAATAAATCTCTTGGGTTTTAAGATATGTGGTCCACTATTTTTGCCTGTTATTTCGACGGTAACCTAACTTATCTATTTATAGCCATATTTTACAAAAGCATCACATAAAATCGTTCGTTTTACGTTCGGACTAAATACTAGCCAGTGTGCACTATTTTGGAGTCCGTGCTCTGGCGGTGTTTGATCGTACAAAGACCTACACCGCATTCACAACACTGTGCTGTTCAAACATACTTCCACCTTCTGGTTTGTTGTTGTTCTTATCGAGTGTTCATCGAGTCTGTCATTGTTGACAATCCCTCCTCTGTACCTGACTCTGCATTCACAATCAACGTATCATAAAGCCGCGGTGTTCCAGATAGCGGTGCAAAAGTAACAAAATGCTCCGAAGACAACCATGGCCTTGAGACCCTATCAAGCTCTGATAGAGCTCAGCACAACTACTCTTGTCAGAACAGGTTCCCGTCTTCAACCCGATCTCTTAGAATTGCCCTGCCGAGGTTGACCGATAGGTAGACCCTAGCGACCAGAAACTTTACTACGGTGAGAGAACGCGGCTGCGGAAGGATTAATTCAGCCCTACGATGGCCCGGTCAGTGAGGCAACCCTTTTGTTTTCATCGAATCACCGTCGTTCTTTTTCACTCTAGCGACATGCTTCACATTCTCGAAGCACCTCAAAGGCCAACGTTCCCCCTTCAAGTACCCCAGGTCGTCAAAACATCATCATCATCTGTTCTATAGCATAAGAAAAATAGCTAAAATGGGATACAGGAAGTTGTGGAGAACTCATTTGCATCAGCTCCTGGTAACTCATTATAGTCAATAGCGTTTCTGTATATTTGGCATCCGGAACGAACTAAAACAAATAACAATGGATACACACAGATCAGCCAGCAACACGTGCAGACGATGTTTCGGACTGTATACACTCAATACTACTACAAAACTGAATCAGTATTAGCTTCCTGTGGAGCCAGTATCAGGTTTGCTGTTACATTTTGCAATGGATGTAGATAGCAACCTTCCAGTGAATTATAATCAACGAGGCAGATATCTTGGATTTTCAGTGAAAGAACTTTCCGTGAGATAGTCGCTGAGCTGTAACATCTCTTCGGTTCCCAGTTACTGTGCCGCCAGAAGGATGCGCTGCCAGGTCACCCAAGCTTTGCCAGATGCAGTTGAGACACAAGGATTTGAGCCATAAACCTTCCAGTCATTATATCTGTACGTCAACCATTCAGCTACATGGAACGTGGTTGGGTCTTACAAGGTACTCCTTGCCTCTTTCTGACAAGCGTTTAGTTTGCTTCAAGAACTCCTTCACCAGGAAGTTTAAGGTTCATTTCAATTCACTCCGTTCACTTTATCAACTCCCAGAACCTGGAATAATAGGGCTAATATTCCCTGTGAACCATAGGAGGTGAAACGGATACTAACAAGGACACGTTTAATGCTCGCCCCTGTTTCGTTCCGTAAATGCATCATAATATTTTGAACAAATTGGTATTTATATGCTGAGATTACGGCGTCTAGGGAGGTGTACAGTGGACTCATTCACCTCTACTTTCAACACTTGGTTAGACTATGCAATCATCCATATTGGTGAAATTCGTTTCAACCGACAAATTCTAAGTGTCATGTCGATTGTTCGTCTTTAAGTCTGAAACATTACTTTCAATCATGCTGAGTAGACCGCTACAACCAGATGAATATGCGAAGGAGTATAGATGTGATCTCATCTAGCTGCCAACGCGAAGCCATTGAATGGATATCGTTTCCACCAACATCCCGAAGCCAATGAATTTGTCCATGCGGAGTGAATACCATTCAGTTCTATTGACACGGTTGTCTCTCGGTACGTATAAATGCTGAAAAAGAGACTAAAAAACCAGAACATTTCCGGTTATTTTTAGGTTGCTGCCAGATTTGTGGAAATGCCATTCACACCACTCCCGTTTAAGTAGTCATCCTTTCGTGCTGCTCCGGTGAACCCACGTCAAAGACCATAAGCACTGAATTCGACTTTCACTTGTCCTAGAGATCATCAGCAGTGCGTATCCTTGATCATACCATGAGTTGAGCTCCAAGCATCTAACATGCGAGGCGGGCTTCCTACCCTCCACCGGTGCATTCTGGCTGCACCTCCGAACAAGCGAAGATCCTCATACATGAGTGGTGTGAGTGATCTGCCGAACACCGCGGAATGCAGCCCATAACTACGATTGTGTCGATCGGGTTACCCACCTGTTAGAGATTTTCGGTGAGGTAGATCCAAAGATGCCCGAAACCTGGTTTGGATAAATCGATTACGTCGCCTACTAGTAAGTGTGTCCAACATGCACTGATGGAATAGAGGAAACACGATCGCCTCACGCGTCATACCCCGTGCTAAGGAGATATAATAAGAGTAAAATAGGGGTCCAGTGATCGCACTGTTTGGTGGGAAATCAACAGAATGATTGATCCAGAACCGGAGAGGAACTGCTCAGACGGCATTATTTTAACTGCAAATTCTGCAAGGCCATGTATTAACATTTCGTGTTTTCTTAGTCGATGTACCCGTAGCAGTGATTTTACTGGTAGAATCGGTAAGTGTTTTCTTGATGGAGGAAATAGCAAAACGGGAAACAAAGTTCTGCTGGTTTATTTATTCTCTGCTTTATGTTTTAGGACATTGAAGATGATATTGTGCAACTTCTGGAGGAATAGCTCAAACCGTGGAGATATCATCAATGTGGTGCTGCACGCCTGTGAACCCCTGCCCGTGAAGATGGCAAAAGAAACCCGATTAAAAGGGACTTTGTCATCGGATTCATCAGTGGTTTGCTTTTGAATTTCTGGCGTGCAATAACACCAATAATTACCGTGATTCTGCGTTCTAACAGTCCTAAAGCCTAGGGCCTTGTCTGTCAGTAACTGTCAAAAGAGGCTGTCATATTTCTGACACGCTTTGAACTAGTCGTATTTGCAGTACCGGATAGCTCTAATAAGGGCAAAACTAAAATCCACTGTTTCTTTTTTGGTTTGTGCTTATTGTTCTAGGATGAAAGGAACACGTTGAGGCGAGGGCAATACGAGCGTTATTAAGCAGGTGGGATTTTTGAACAACGGAGGGATTTTGAAGTTTCCGGTAGGGATTTTAGTTCTACAAGTAAAGCTGACCTTCATGAACGAAACTACTCACAAGATTGCTGAAAACTCTTCGATAACCCACGACCGGTTTCACCCTTCTCGGGGCTCATCCCCGGGGCGCCTTCCCCGAGTTTCCGACAACCTCATGATCTACTTGAACCCACTTTCAGTTGTAGAATATCATAAGCGGGAGATTCAATTGAGTCTCTCGTGAAAACCAAATTGATTTGCAAATGAGTGTATTTCTCGTAAAGCTGACGTTATGCATTAGAGCCCGAAAGTATGGTGTATCGATGATGCCTAAGTTGGGAATCAACAGCACTGCGCACGTAATGAATCTCCAAGACGATCCCTACCTACCTTTCGGATGGTCGAGAGCACCGTTCTGTCACAGGTGGCTGGTCAGCAGCGTGATGAATTCGCAGTTGAATGAAATATGAGGCCATTATCATCAGAATTCACTCCTGAAGGCGAAAGGTCCCCTAAAGCCTCCTCTTAAAGTGTTCAGACGTGCAAAACAGTAAAGCGCAACAGAGCAAAATTTTGCCACACAAAATAGCTGAATGTACTAGGTACGGCGTCGGAAAATTTCAACTTATGCTTCTGATTTATGATGCGGGAGACCCATCAGGGGATTCCGCTTACCTGGTACCTGTACGGCGGCGAAGCACACATGGTGAACACTGATATCATGCTGTCAATGATGATGATGAAGGATGACGATGTGGTTTCTCTACTTAACAGCTTCCATAATCCACCGAAGAAGTTATCGACAAGCATGTTAAAATTAACCAATTTTATCAACCGCCGAGAGCAAGAGAACGCAGGAATTACGTAGTTCTGGACTGCACAAGCAATCACACGAGGAATTCCTAAAAGAAGCAGGGTGGTCCGATCCAAACGGACATATCACCTGGGTTGGAGAAGGCGCCCAGTCAATAAACCAAAGTACTAAGTCAACCGGCGGACGCAAGGACGCCAGTCAATACAATGAAAATATAAGGTGGTGCAGTCAGCCGATCGCAGCCGAGAAGAATCAGACCACAACGCAATGCGAATCGAGAATGGGTCAATCAAAACGCAGGAGGGAACTACTAAAATTAGAAGGTAACTGGATGTCCAATCTGCTAGAAGGAACGAAAACCACAACACCATGAAGATCACGGACGAAACAATAGATTTGCGAAAAAGGCTGTCATCCAACTGGCCAAACACGGTAACAGGTAACAAATGCTGTGTAAACGCACGCGAACAAACAGGAGGTACCCACGCAACTGCGCAATGATGGTGTCTTCTCGTATGGTGACGAGACGTTTGAAAGTCAGTTGGCAAGCTCGGAGAACAGATTAACAGCCAACTGATCAACAGCCAATGCCATATTATCACTTCTAGAGTGAACTATCAGAATCAAAGTGACATCCGGACTAGTGAGAGACATTCTAGGCTAGACTAGCTGTAAATCTGCACTCCATTGGGGTGGGGGTCACCAAGCTACTGTGACGAAGATGAAGATTGGAACAACTAAAAGTGCTTCTTTCTCTGGTTGACGTCCGAATATAACCGGATGATGATGATCATTCCAAATTACTTGACCGATGAGCATAGGCGAAAAACATTGCAGAGAATAAACAGTGTTAGTGGAGGAAGTAGATTCCCTTTGATTTATCTCATTCAACCCTCTGAACGTGCGTTGTAGGATATTTCACTGGACCAGAAGTAACAGACAGCCAACCACGTTAGGATGAGCAATGCGTTGGATTTACCTTCCACCACAAGTTCATTTAAAAAACGCAACGCAAGTCTGATGATGCTTATTTGGAGAAATACAACGTCTGCGTGCAGCAAGGCGCAGGCTCTATCGCGCATGCTTCGGCAATTTGTAGGGAAGTTTTGGACATTCCCACTGTCAGAATAGAATGTCACGAAGGTGTCCCCCGAGGGTACTTGCTATTGTGGCGACTGTTGTAAGACCCGATAGGATATAACCCCAGGGAATCGCTACCAGTTGTGGACACGATGAGTGTCCGACTGATGGCGAGTCCCACTGGTAGTTTATTTTCCGCTAATTCGTAGTCAAGATGCTGCCTTAAAATGATCACATTTTTACTTTTGCATAGTTTTCGCCTTACGCATTTACACTTCCGTAAATTCTTCGGACCAGGTCAGCTTGTAAGTAAGTGGTAGACGTAAGCTAAACCAACTGTGGCAGTCCCATGGCCAGCCACATGCTGTTTGATTTTCCGTACTCATTGGCAGACAGACATATGATAGAAATACGATAGAATTTTATGGTCCTTTTATGGTGTTGTGAAAGATGACGGCTGTTTTTTTGACAGAAAAAGTTTCTGCTAGGATGAAAAGACGCCTAAAATTGACGGATTTATAGATGTTCTTGGCCGACTGCGCGGGCAGCATTCAGGACAATCCATCTGCCATCACTAGTGGTTTTGTTGCACCATTTATAGGGTAAGTATACATGAAACATCACGCATGCTCTGATGGCAAACCGGATACAATCTAGTAGGGAGAAAGGGGGCTCGCTTTACTGGTGCTTTCCAAGCCTTCGAACTATTTCCCACTGCTTTAAAAGTATTTTAACTTTAAGGGTTTAATATGTAAACCCTGACAACATGAAAGCACTTGAAGTGAGACCTTACGTCACGCAGATGAAGAAGGAGTTAAAACTCGTTTCGAACAGTCGTTTCATCTTGACTTACTTGATATAGTACGAAGTAAGCAGAATAATTGGGCCAGAACGGGATTAAGGCTGCCAAAACGAAGGTGATGAGAAGTCAAGTTTTGGGAGTTCCGTTAGTGGCTAGGTCGACCCACCAATCACTTCTCTCTCGCTCTCTCCTAGAAATCTGTTGCCCGAATTATTTAGACAGCTACTTTGCACACATTATTCTTCTTCCAGATGAGCTAGAGCTTTAAGTGCGGGAAGATAAGACAAACAAGGGACAGTTTCCAGATTTTCTTGACGTCTTTTCAGTTTACATTTGGAGTTTGGAGAGGAAATTTAACTGGATGCTTCATTGCCCTCGCATCAAAGGACTGGTTATGTTCAGCGGTCTTCGAATAGGAGCTTACTACCCTGTCTTATATGGAATGACTGCTGCCGCACTCCATTCCTTACCAAGTCTTGACATCGGAGCCAATATCCTTCCGAATTGCCTCACTGAGTCTATTGATTTGAGCCTTGATTTGAGCCGTTTTCCGACCGACCTCTTCTATGCGTAGAGGTCCGACTCGACTAAATATTGATGAGACAGTAATAAAACGTAAAAAGAGTTTGGTTATGCAAATGAGGGGTTTAGAAGGATTCGTTTGTCTGTTGGATTCTGTTGTGTAACAAAGGTCAGGACGAACTCTATCTCCATGAGAAAACTGACGTGAGGATCCAAACTATTAAAGTAAAATTATTGTCACCATAACGCCGGAAAATTCCCAGTAGATAACGCTATCCGACCAAGGATGTTTGCTAAAAATCCTGCGCATGAATGTTAGCTAAAACCCCAGTGTCCCCCTAACCTCGTCGTCATGAGTAAACAGTTGAGTATAAAACAGACTAGTCAAGGCTCCATCACTCTTATGCCATCAGCTATTTCATCCAGCAAGAGCTGTTTCGTTTCCTTAAGTGTCTTGTCTTTCATCTTGCTCGTCTCCAAAGCATTCGCCATGAGGAGGTTTGTGTTTGAAGATCAGAGACCGTCTGTTCTACCCCCCGCATGCGCAATGGGGAAGGGCTGTCTGCCTTATTCGATCGAAACCACTTTTGAGTCGTTGTTCTGCCGGTCACTGTCGGAGAATGTTGCTTCGGATGGGTTCGGTTTGGTACAGATGAAAGCCAGAAAACTCTGCTCTAGGGGAAAAAGAATCAACTGGACTGATGGCGCTAGCACATTCTCACACGATGTTAGGTTGGATGTTAATGGATGTTGATAGATTGTTAAATGTAGCGTAGGCTGGCTGGCTAGCTACCATCAGACGACTGAGGTTAGTGATTGACGAGATACTCAGCAAATACGGCCCCTTCCTGTCACTCTCTGGGAACCTGCCATGCAATGCGTAACCTAATTTTGATAGCAACAGGGACAACCGATAATTACGACTGTACGTGGATAATAAAGGTAATCTGTGTTCAAATGAGGCCCACAGCACGGTATCGTAGGAACACCGATAAATTAATTGATATGCTCAAATGAGGCCCACAGCACGGTATTGCCACATTGAGTTTTATCGTAGGAACACCGATAAATTAATTGATTCACGTGAACGGTCAACACGACAATTGCTATCTCATTGAATCGCTCTTTATCTGATCAGTCTGTACAAAGAATTACGCACTGCGTACCAATTTACTTCTCACGGGAGACTCAGTTAGAGCCCAGCCAAATCTCTCGTTTATGACGTTCTTCTTGAGCATCGTACCAGCTGAAACATGGGGCTCCCTGGTGGAACGCATTCATTCAAAGAAGAACAGCGCAAACGAGAGATTCAGTTCTAGGCTAGTCTCACATCAAAATCAAAATGGTATGAGTGAAATTTCATGAAATTCGTCTAAAGTGGAACACATGGTTGCTGGAAGCTCGGGGACTGCGTCTACCTGATGGGCCCGATGACGGGCAAAAAATGATCGTGGCCAACTGAAACATGAGGCGGCCTGCGTGCAGCACCAGCTGTAGAATATCATAAACGAGAGATTATTGCGAAAACCAAACTGATTTGCAAATGAGTGTATTTCTCGAAAACAGTGCAATTTGGGTTCAAGTGCAACATAAAGTTGACGGAAACTCGAGGACTGCGCCCACCCGATGAGCCCCAAAAAGGGCGTAACCGGTCGTGGGCTGTCGAACAGT